ACGATATGTATTGTGAAAAATGCTATACAAATAAATGTGAATTAAATTAAATATAGGCTACTGGGGGGCGGGATATATACCTGCACGTGAAGCTTGCAGCAAAGCACTGGCAAAAGTAGCCTAATGATTATGGATGTGGAAACAATAGCAAGGAGATATTTTAATTATTTATTAATGAACAAGTGTTTACTAATGGTGTGTTCACACCGAACGCGAATTTAATTATTTGTGCGAGTAGATTACATACATAGTCAATGCAAAGACGCGAATAGACGCATCATTCGCGCCGGGCGTCGCGAATGACGCGAATTGGGTGACGCGTTTGCCGCGAACGTCTTCCGCGCAAGTTGAAAAATTTGAACTCGAGCGAATGTTCAAGCGTCGAACTAGACGCGATAGACGCGTATTTGACGCTCTATTCGCGTTCGATGTGAACACCATTACTCTCAAGTGTATTTTGTGCGCTTCAGTGCCTAGATTTACCGTGTTGCCGGTCTTGGCAGCAATGATCTTGTCGAAAATATTGCATCGCGTGCATCTGGCATCGAGTCTGGCACATGACATAGGTACACTTTGGATCATTTCCACATCTATCTATCTGGGTTGGGACGCACGCTTACACACACACACACACACACACTGCAGCCTCACGTGCGACGAGCCGCGTCTCTGGGCAGCCGCGTAAACTAGTGTTTTTCCGCCACAGCCAATCATGCTGCATGCTTATTGTTTCACTGACATTGACGAGATTAACCACTTAGGTACCGAAATGTGGTACCGAAAAACAAGACATGTTTCGATACTCGGTAGTATCGAGGCAATTCGGTCGGTACCTAAAAAGTACCGAACTCGGTACCCAGCCCTATACCTAGGTGAATCTATTTTTTTCTCCCAGCACTAGTGAAGTCACTCAGAGGCCCATACGGAAGAAAATGAATAGTTGAATAATGTTGTTATTTTTTTTTTTTTTTTTGTGCACAAAAATGATTGTCGTTGCTTGATAAATTCGCCAGAATGAAATTGCCTAGAAGCCTACGGAGGAGTGAGCCAGCTTTCAGATTTCATCAAAAATATCTTAATTTGTGTTCTGAAGATGAACGAAAGTCTTACGGGGTTGGAATAACATGAGGGTGAGTAATTACTGACAGAATTTTTGGGTGAACTAACCCTTAAAAACGGTTTTCATTTCATTTAAATGTTTATATGAAAATATTTGTTGTTGTTTTTTTAAGCTATAATGTAGCGTTTAAAATGTATGATAATCATGAAATGTTCTACTTTTTGATGTGCTGTAAAAGTGTGTGCTTATAATTCACATGGTTGTGTTAATAAAAAAAAATTAAGTTGAACGAATGGTGCAGAATTTTTTTTCTAACCTTAAAATGTAATTTTAACATGAAAGAAAGTGGACATTTTAATGTTCTTTGATTGTTGTATTGTTAATAACATTTTTGGGGAAAGAACGCTGCAGGAACGTTATGCTTACCTTAAGATAATGTTCCAGCAACGTTATGTCAATGTTCCAGCAATGTTAAGATAATGTTCCATGAACGTTATGCTAACCTTAAGATAACGTTCCATGAACGTTTTGCTAATCTTAAGATAACGTTCCAACAACGTTTTGCTAACCTTAAGATACTGTTCCATGAACGTTATACTAACCTTAAGATAACGTTCCAACAACGTTTTGCTAACCTTAAGATACTGTTCCATGAACGTTTTGCTAACCTTAAGATAACGTTCCAACAACGTTTTGCTAACATTAAGATACTGTTCCATGAACGTTATGCTAACCTTAAGAATGTTTCAGCAATGTTGTGCTTGCTAACGTTCCAGCAACGTTATGCAAACTTTAAAATAATGTTCCAGCAACGTTATGCTAACCTTAAGATAACGTTCCAACAACGTTTTGCTAACATTAAGATACTGTTCCAGCAACGTTATGCTAACCTTAAGAATGTTTCAGCAATGTTGTGCTAACGTTCCAGCAACGTTATGCAAACTTTAAAATAATGTTCCAGCAATGTTATGCTAACGTTCCAACAACGTTATGCTAACGTTCCGGCAACGTTATGTTAACCTTAAGATAACGTTCCAGCAACATCATGCTAACGTTCCAGCAACGTTTTGCTAACATTAAGATACTGTTCCAGCAATGTTAGGCTAACCTTAAGATAACGTTCCAGCAACATTATGCTAACGTTCCAGCAACGTTTTGCTAACATTAAGATACCGTTCCAGCAACGTTAAGCAAACTGGACATTTCAACGTTTTTAGAACATTTCAAACCAACGTTCCCACAACGTTCTTAGAACATAATTTTGTTAGCTGGGGTATAACAGAAGTAAAATAATTTAATGAGAAGCGTCGGAATAATTTAACAGGGAGTTTTTGAAGTAAAATGAAATAACATCTATTTTTGCTTGTTTTATTCGTCACTTCCATACGAGGACATGCAAAGAATTTGACTCAACTTAAACAACTCGCGTGTTATGCGTTATTAAATCTAGGCTAAACAATTTTACAGTAGTCTACACAGCATTTTAACTTGAGGGAATCACCTGTTTATCACAATCAACAGAAAAACAGACTGGTGTCGCTTACGAAATGCGTTGTAGATTATTTCGACAGGCCGAATGTTTATCTATCTGTCATAACTGCTCTAACTGCTGCTTCCAGTCAGTGCCACGGAGAAACGCCCACCTTTCCAGCCCTGTGGGACACTGAGATTTGTTTTAACAAACGATTTGACGGGAATCATTTTCAGGAAATGTTTTTATTATTAAGACTTTACGTCTCCATCTTTGGGGAATCATGCGATCATGACGCGTTTTTCCCATGCAATGTTGAAGGCGCATGAGTTGATGAGTGTTACCTGCCAGAGAAGGATATGAGACGTGAGCGCGCGCTGCTGTGCTCTGTCACGGCATCAGTCATGTTCTAATGCGACAGCGCGCTCTAAGATGGAGATAAAAACAAAACGCTACAGAGGCTGAGACATTTCTGAGCCAGCAGCACCACTTGCTGTGTAGGAGGACTTCGTGCAGCGCTGCTCTCTCTCACCGTGACTTTCTCATCATTGGCCCCATGTGTTATCAGGGACTATAAATATAGCCTAATGATATTACATTTTTATTACCATTTGGTAACAGTTTACAATAAGTTCTCAATTGTTGACATTATTGCATTAAATAACATGAACAAACAATCAATCAGCAATATATTTTTTACAGCATTTATTTATTAACAGTTGTTAATAAACAAGTCATAAACTGATACAACTTTTGATCTTAAAAATGTATTAATGTTGAACTTTTAAATGTAATGTCTAACTAGTTAACTGATGTTAATGAAAGTTTTAAAGTGTTATTAGTAAAAAAAAAAAAAAGAGGCTAAAATAGGCTAAAGGCTGTATAGTAAAATTTTTTGACTTCCCAATGTGTTTTAACCTGTCTGGTCCATAATAACTTTTATTTTGAGAGTCATGCACTGTCTGCAAATATTTTGGTTAATGAGTTCATTCATAAAAAAGTAATTCATGATGGCTATTAATGTGAATTCTACCAGTTTACCTTTGTAAACATTTATAAATGTGTTACTTTCATTTAAATTACAGTAGCTGTAGCCTATTAAAAATGAGCCACTGGTGCTATAGCTTGAAAATGCATATTTTTTATAACATAGCATAGACCTATGCTACAACTTTTATCAGCAATTTAAGGGAAAGAAAGAACCAGAAAAGAAATGATTGTTTTTTATAAGTAGGCTACCTCGGATTGGTTGCATGCAGGCCTATATGTTTAATGGTATGTACATGTTTTAAACTTTGTTTAGTTAGTGAAACGCGACACAGTAGGCTATAGCTAAATTTCATATAGTGAATCCGTTTCATCAGCACGCCAGTTCCAATCTGCAAACATCGCAAATGTCTAAATAGTTTTTTAACCTCTCAGCTTATAAACATTCATTTGATAATATTGTCAAAAATGATGTTTGAGTAGCCTGACTATTTACAGCACACACAAACCGTGAATTGTAACGGCGTAGTACCTATATCACTCACAAAACGATCCTTGTAGCACACAAACAATCAATTTCATAACGAATGACTCTGAGCTGGTGAGCTGGTCGCTGTTTTTGTGTATCAAAAACAGCGACCGTCGGTAGTCTGAACCCTGAACAAATATCAGCAGGTTATTTTAGTTAATCAGTCGGAAGCGTTGGTGAATTATTCTGACTTAGCCTACTTAATGAAATGTAGGGTTAAGCTATATTACTCTCTCTCTCTCTCTTCATGTCTGACTTGAAATGAACCAAGAACTGTTAGCCTACAGTTAACGATGAAGGCTATATAGCGGACTTTCTTATCCCGCAACTAAAAAGTATATGCAGTAATCATTTTAAAAGCATTATTATTAAAATACTTGTATTACCTTTTCTGATTTGTTATATTATACTATATTGTTACATGTTGATTTATTGAAATCTGAAATAAAAATTGCATTTCTTATTTTCAAAATATTTCTATCTCAAAGTAGTAAATAAATAGTTCAAAGGAATCGGAACCAGACATAATCTATAAATTCTTCATGAATGCCATCCCTACTCATTTCTAGACATGCAAAAGGATGCTGCTAACTTCCTTGGATGCTCTTCTCCACCCTCTTCGAACTTTGTGTGGTATAATCGGAATGCTACCAGACGCTCCCATCCAACTGACCGATCCCATTTAAACATATTACCACACAATACTAAAACATTAATTATATCGATGTTCAATATTTGCATATTCTCTAAACGATCTAGACAAACAATATTTCTGATTCTGACAGTCGCTAATAATGTGTAATATGTTTGTTGGAAATCCCCATCATCTCCCCCCTCCACATTCCGCTGTTTGGATCATTCCGTCTCGAGGCCTGCTCGAGAGAGAAGGGAGTGTTTTCCCGTCAGACACAGAAGTTCTAGTAGTCAAACTAATTTTTGTCAGAACGTTACTAGTTATATTTGAGTCAGGCCGATTGTACCACTGGGGTTAACACTATTTTGGTCCAAGTAATAAGTCCAGTTTTCTAACTCAGGTTGTTTTTTCTCGTCACGACAGCGGGGTAGCTTCTTTAGCTAAGTTAGCTCGCTAGCCGGAGTACGGAGAGCTCATAATGCCTACGCTGCGGGACAGCACAATGTCCCACCCCGGAGAAAACCCTCACCAGGTCCGGGTAAAAGCCTACTACAGAGGGTAAGTAGACAGTGAGACTCTGTGCTGTCTTTTTTGATAGACGTATGCTCTTATATACGTATGCTCTTATATACGTATTACCTCTTAATAGTGCAGTTTCGGGATATACACAAATAAACGATTAGCCAGCTAAGTTAACTTAGCTGGTAGATTTAGCTAAGCCAAAAACAAAACTCTTGATGAAGTTCTAATAAAGAAGTTCCGACTCCAATAAAACAGCTGTGTGGTATTTTTCTTTATCTACAGCTTTTTTTCTTTTCATATTAGGTCTCATAATAGTATACAAAAAGTGATTATATGTTTTTGTACTGTTTGTCAGTTAATCTATTGATGGCTTATGAAGTGTTGTTTTCATCTGAGAGCTGCCCCTGTCATGGAGCTGGATATGTCTACCTGTCTTACAACATTTGCGATCTGTCACATTTAGGTGGTCCTATATGACGGTAGGGTATAAGGGAGGTAAAGGTAAAGTCACAGATATTATGATAAAATTAAAAGTTAAAATTAAACTATATATGCAAAGCGTGTATTATGTGTCAAGAACATAAAATGTAGATCATCACATTATTCATTGAATATTCGGTTTAAGCAAATTTCTAAGCGAGAACAGTGAATTGTTAGTAAAATAGGAGGTAAAACAACATGTAAATGTTAGTTCTTGCTCTTTAGGAAAACAATTCTTGGGTTGCTTTTATGTGAATAAATACGCTCATTGAATGAATGATTTTCATTCAGAGCTGTGTTCCATTCATGATGACGCATGCGCTTGTCATGCACTTGAAAAACTTGTACAGCAAGTATCTTTTGCCAGACCTGTTGGAGACTGATTCCTATTCACATTCCCCAAGAGAGCTATTGTGTGTGTGCAGCTGTCTTGATGATTCAATCGGTTTCTGTTCCAGCTGAATTTGTTGATAATAGTTATTATTATCATCGGTATGGAACTGACAGGTCCACCGTCATTAGTCTCTATGAACTGGCCTCAGGTATGTGAAAATCTTCAAAACCAATCATCCCACACTACGATCCTTTGTTTTTGAAAGCGCAGTTTCTGATTTTATTTCGGTTTTTAAGAAAAGCTCTATGGAGACAGCATTAATTGATGGCCTATACTGTGCAAAAATAGTAGCACATTATTCCTGGGTGTGGATGATTTTGAAACCCACCATTTGTCCCTTTATGTGTGTTCCCTCTGGTTTCTATTGTTATTCAGCAGGTCATTTTAGCCAATCTTTGAACCAGTTTCAATCCCTTATTCTATATAAACTACTATTGTGGCCATGATAGACCCATTCAGAGGGTGTTTCTTTTGGTGTGTGGAGGCCTTTATGGCAGGTTTCTGCCTGAATGCAGCACAGTCTTGAATAGAGTGAAGGACATGTTACTCTCTTCACGTTTTATGTTCGGTTTAAAACCCCCTGAAGCCTGGCGAAGATGAAATTCACAGGCTTTATCCTCCTCCTCCTCTTTCTCTGCCCTATCTTCTGTCTTTGATCCACTTATTGCTCTCTCTCTGGCAGTCATCCATGGTTTTTTCTCTGTGATGTAGGCTATTGTATGACTGTAATAAACAAGTCTTTTAGAAGATTTGACCTATATTGCAACTCTAATCTGAAAACCATTTTTGATGGATGTTGAATACAGTAAATATGTTACTTTGTGCATTTGGGCATCATAAGAGTCCTGCTTAGCTCATGGTCAGTGCTGTTTGTCATGGTCATCTGACTTTATATACTTTACCCCAAAAAATATTTTTTAATTATTTGATCGTCCTTAGGTCGTTCCTGTATGACTTTCTTTCTTCTGCAGTAGGGCTGCACCATGATGGTTAAACTAATAATTATTTTGTTCAAAAATTATAATAGATATAAAAAATAAATATTATTTAAGCCCAAATCAACAGAATGTCAACTCGCATGGCTTATTTTACCTAATCTAGATTACAACCAATATAGTCGAGATTAATATTGGATTTGAATTTATCACAATTCGTCAGAAGGTTTGCTCGCAGATATAGGCCTAGTTGCAGCAAATAGCACAAACATATTTTGCAGAATGTTGGTAACCAAACATTTTTCGTGACTAACAAAACACACACACACACACACAAAACAGAGACATTTCTCAAAATATTACCTTTTTCTTTCTTCCACAGAAGAAAGATAGTCATACATGTTTGGAACGACAGTAAATTATGACATTTTTGTTACATTTTTGGGTGAACGATCCCTTTAATGCACCTGCTGTTTAATTCCTTTTTCCTCTTCATTTTAGCATCTGTGAGCTTGTTTACACCTCCAGGTCCAGCAAATTGTGTTTAGGTTCTTGTAAGTTGTATTTGACAGCAGCAATGAGTGTGTGTTCAGTATGCTGTTGTAAAGGGAGTGTGAGGTGATCCATGTATGCCCTATGAAGTAATGTGGCTTCACCACCTATCAATGATGCTGAGAGTGCATCTGCTCATACTAAGAGAGTGGGGTACACATCCATCTTCCTCTTATTGTCAATTATGTGCCAAAATAATTTTATATCATTTGCAAGAAGCAACAGTAAGAGGTAGTTTATCTCTCTGTAAATATGAACTAAAGCACAGTTCACCGACACAGAGCTTTCATTATGTCAGAGATATGCATCACAGGAAACACTGAGCTGTCCTTCTTACAGTAGCTTCATCATAATGGTCCTAGATCAGATCAAATCAGCCTTGTGATTTCCGTTGTCATATAAGGTGGTGTGTGTACTCCTACTAGTCTCTGTGGCATGTGTGGGTCAGCGCGCTAGCTCGTAGGCAGGAAGGACTCCCCTGCTGTCAATAATTAACCAAAACAGTGTGAACATAGTAGAAAACAAAGGGAAATAAGCTGCTGGGTGCCTCCTACTTTGGGAATGTGCTAGTAATTCAACACACAGCTTCCCACAAACTCACTGAATGATACTCCTGCTGCACAGTATTTGTCTTTTGGTCTTAAAAAAAAAAAAAAAAAAAAGGCTGATAGCACTTTGAATGCATTTAGATTTTTATAATTACCAAACTTAAGGATACAGAACGGCTTCCCAAATTTATGATAAGCTTTATAGGGATTTTTGAGCATAATTTTGTCTGCAGTGTGTACACAACCACCCTATAATGGTAAAATCCTCCCACTCCCTTTTTGTTTTGTTCATGTCTACAACCCAGTGTGACGTCACATTGGGTTAGGTACTGCTTATTAGCTTTGAGTCTCCCCTAAGTGAGCAGCACACAGTCCACCATGTTACTCTCCTCACTAGAGCAGCTAGTGGTACACAAGGATGCTACCTGATAAAAAATCTAAAAGTTCAGTTGTTGTCCATTTACTCCCAGCATCTGAGCCACTGAAGACGCAGTGTATTTTTTTTTTTTTTTTTCAGGGAATGTGTAAATATGTTTGTGTTAACCATTTTACATAAGACTGCTTTGTAACTAAGCAAAATGATTCCTGTTCTATTTTCATGCAGTATATTCTACACATATTGTCTGTTTATAGCACATAGCGAACAATTACAGTATTTAGTGGTGTTTATGAATTGTTGCAAGATGGCTGAAAAAACTAGTACACACTACAACTCTACAACTAATCAACTTACCATTCAGAAACGTCCTGGTGCATTCTCGAAGTTATTACTTCTGCCAGAGTCTCTCTTTCTTCAGTGTCCGACTCTGGTTCGAACATGTTGGTTTGAACTTTTAACAGTATTTACAGTAGCAGCCATATTGGTTCTCCTCCTCCTAAAAGCGTTCGCCCACTTGTTGCTCGCTGTAGTATGGGTCATAATCCTGCCCTCTCCATGTAATCTAATGGGACGTGAGGGACGCTAAAAAAAATCCAATTACTCTTCAAATAATATTTTTCCAAAGATGGTTTCTGTAATTTTAGCTCATTCTTATCACACAGACATATTTTCAAATGTTTGTTTTTCCAATAAGTCTGGTTTTAGTTATTTGATGCTATAAAAACAGGGTGTAAACGTCATGATGGCATAAGCAGCAACAAATGTTTCTGGGATATTTTGGCTTAATTTTGGAAGGAAGGGAAGAGCATCGCCCATCTATTTTTTACTGTCTATGATCCTAGGCATGATCATAGCTGCATTAAACAGTCTGTGTAAATGCATCTAAATGGCACTTCAGATGCAGCATCTGTGTTTCCTCTGCATTGCAAAGATAGGTTTTGTTGATACTGATTTTATTTGATTGGTAACAGCCCTAGTGTCTTATTATTATTTTAATTGAATTTACTGGTTAAATGTAATAATTTGACATAATAAATGATGCATAGACTACATTTTATTAGGTTAGAAAAACATGGCCCTTATAAAGGGTCATATTTTAAACTTTTTGTCACTGCTGTGAACTAACTGCACAAAATATGAAGAATAACTAAAACTTTGGGAATAAGCTGTCAACAGCAGTCCTAAACCTGCCAAGATACCAGCACAATAACACACTCGGCAAAATATCGCCTGATCATCGTTATTGACAAAATCCCAGAAAGTATCGATAACATTTTTGGTCAATATCACATAGCCCTAGTTGGCGCTGCCGCTGACTCAAAGAGAACGGTTTTCATGTATTGGTATGAAACAACTTCACACTCTTTTCAACCACACAGTATCATTATTTCTGTTACAATAATTAAAATGATCACAGAAGTACTGGGGTAAAAGTTTATAGTTCGGATATAAACACTGATGTCTATTGTAGTGATCAAAGTAGAGTAAATCACCCTTCAGAGTAACTTGACTCTTCAAATAAAGATTGTATCAATTACATCATTTGTACATTATTTGTCATTGTATCGGTCATTCATGAGATTTGTTTAGAAACGCTGTTAAATGAGTCATTGAATCGTTAATTCAAACCAGTTTTTAAAATAATAATAATAATTCAAATTATTTTTAAATTAAATATTAATTAATAGACTGCAGCAATTAACATTTTGTCAGACCCTGTGGTAAATTACATGTTACTTTGTTTAGCTGTCTATTTAGAATTGTGGGAGAATCGTGATCTCTATTTTAAACAAAAACTCTTGATTCTCAATGTATCCAGAATCGTGCAGCTCTATTACATTGTATAAAAAGGGGCACAACCTTTAATAAAATAGATAATATTCTAGGAATAAACCGTTAATGAATAAACCATTACTGAATGTCACCTTTTTCTGTTTTAGGGACATCATGATCACACATTTCGAGCCCTCCATCTCCTATGAGGGGCTGTGCAGTGAGGTGCGGGACATGTGCTCCATGGACAATGACCAGCTCTTCACCATGAAATGGATTGATGAAGAAGGTTTGCCATTTCATTTGTGTTTGTCTCTCTGGCCCTATTTACAGCTGGTATTAACTTCTGTCCCAGGTGATCCGATCACAAGCAGTCAGCCGTGACAGATGACATGCCTCCCCTGTGACCTCTTGTGATCAGATTTCATTAAGGCTCTTTGATTTCATGACTAAAAACAAGACTTGCTAAACCAATCAGTGCATTTACATTCAGTTTTAATTCAAATAAATAAATAATAATTCGTTTAATTAATTTGCCCATTACCTTTATTTCACTCAATGTTAAATTAGTTTTTTTTTAGTTATTTGTTGCTTAATGTTGCACATTTAGACACAATCACTAGCTATATTTCCATCACCCTGTTTTTATAATGCACATTTTGAAGTATCGCATCAGAAACGATTGATGGAAACGCCACATTTCGGTGAAAAAAATCCCTTTGCAAGAAAGTTCTTACGCTCGCTTGAGGTGGTTTTTGACTTGTGAAAAAGAGTCAATGCGAATAATCGGAGATGGAAATCATTTGCCGAATAAATTCTGACGTGGCGAACATTAAACCCATGTGACTAATCGGCTGTTTCCGCTGATGGTGTTTTATTTACTGTTACTAGGTTACCAATACCACCATTATCCGTTCGAGCAACTTGATGGAAACGCACGTAATTTGCTGCTTCTTTTTTTTGCGAACTTTGAAAAATTTACTCCATGTTGATAATCATAGACTCCATGGACAATGACCAGCTCTTCAGCATGAAATGGATTGATGAAGAGGGTTTTAAAATATATATTTTTTTTTTATTGTAATAAATTGAATAATATTTCACAAATTTTTTCAGGACGTGTTATTTTTAACTGTTTTTGATCAAATTAATGCAGCTTTAGTGGTTTGAGTAATCACAAAATGTCTAGGACTAAACCTGGTTTATTGATGTCTGCTTGTGATCAAATCCCCTGATACAGATCATTATACCAGGTGTAAATCTCATTCTGTTCCTCTAACTGTCACCGTAGCAACAAGCTTCCCCCTGCTATTCTGCTGAAATTCCTAGATAATTTGCACTAGCACTTTATATATTACAAGTGAACCTACTTTTGGCAGATTGCATTAGAGTCTCAAAATTACCCTGGACTCCACTGGCAGAAATAAAATGGATGGATTTTACATGAGGATAAAGTGAATCTGAATGCAGCGCACAGCAGGGAGCAGGTTTTATGCTGGAAAGATTGACTGTGTGTGATGATTAACTGCTGCATTAGTCATGTGAGATAGGAAATGGAGATGGAAGAACGTTCATTTAAATACCAAAATCTTCACCATTCCACGCTGAGCCCAGAGTCACACTGTTCATTAGCATAGCTGATCTGAGAGGGCCGTCATGGTGAAGAGTTAATCCCTTCTGTCTGCACAAGGCTTGGCACTGATGCCCGGCGTCACTCATTGCCTCTGCTGTGATGTCTGACTGAGGGCCGTGTGTCTACGCAAGCCGAGACAGTCTGTGCCACAGGCTGCTCTTTAGATGACAACTTCGGACAACGCCACAGGCCCTGTTACTAGTTCATGGTGAAAAACGAATAGATTTTTGCTTTATGCCCTGCAAACACTGTTATAATCATAGCATGCTAACAGGGACTCGTTTGTGTCCTTCTTTAATTTTCCCTCACTCTCTCTGTTCCTCTTTGCTGTATCAGGTATGCTCATGCTGCTTATGCTGATGTCTTTGGTAAAGAGTTTTCCAGTGAGTGTTCACTGTGCTTGTCATTGCAGGGGATCCGTGCACCGTTTCTTCTCAGCTGGAGCTGGAGGAGGCCTTACGTCTCTATGAACTCAACAAAGACTCAGAGCTCATTATTCACGGTATGCTGGGGTTTGACTGTTGATGTGGTTGGGCAGTAGTGCATATGCTTTTGTATATGCTTTTCTGTGTAGTTGTCTAGATTCTTAAAAGAATTATGACTGGTGAAGTCTTACACCATGTCTTGACCCAATGTGATGTGAACCTAAAAAAGGATCTAATTAGTTGATTTCATAAAACTTTAATAATTGATTAGAATTAGTGGTGGAACGGATCACAAAATTCACGGTTCGAATCATTTGTGGTTTTTGAGCCACGGATCGGATAGTTTTTCGGATCAGCAAAAAAAAAAATATATATATATATATATTGGGGGGGGGGGGGTAACTTTGCTTTTCATTTATTACTTAAAGCTCATCTAAAGTTCTTCGATACTACATCAAAAACTACTAGCCTAACTGATAAAGTTCAAACATTATTTAAGACAAGTGAACAGTCAGTAACAAAATAAGAACAAATACGCAAATTACAAGCAGAGATGAATACTAAATAACAAAGTCTAACAGTAGTATTCAGGTACAGAAGTTAATAGTTTTTTTTGTTCACTGTAGAAATTAAATATAGTTTAATCTTTGTTAAAGCTGTATTTTGTTGTTTTATTAATATTAATGACATACAACAGTAGGAATATTAGGTGTGTGCTGCTGTCTCTTAAGACCGAATGCACGGACTGAATAAACTGACAAACATCCGGTTTCTTTTTCAATTCTTCACTTATGACATAAACAAAAGAATACTTGCCGAGACAGGCATTTAGATGGGTATTTTGACATAATTTTGTGTTTATGTGTCCGTTCAAGGCCAAGGAAACGCGAAAGAGGAATCAATTCGTTGTTCGAGCTCTATCTGAAACACGTCTCTCTCTCTCTCTCTGTGCGCGCGCCCCGATTTTCACCTCTTCTTCCGCGTTTAAAATTGTTTGAATGTGTAAATTTGCAAGACAAAACGCGTCCAAATTATAAACTTTCACTCTATGATGATTAAATTTAGCAGTTAATCCGCGAACACATTCGTGTCGAACCGTGTGGCCTGGTCTGTACGGATCACAGATCAACTGCGATCCGTTCCACCCCTAAATCGAATTAACAAAAATAGTGTAACAAACAAATTCTGTTGTCCATTTTAATTTTTCTGGAGTCTGTTTCATGATGGAGGTTTAGTGTTTAAATTAATCTTTGGAATTCACGATAATGCGTTTTATCACAATCACGTGTATCTGTGTGTAGGGAGCGGCGGTACTGACCGCACATTTTACAAGATAAAATATTTGCTGTCAGGATCTGTTGCAAAAACAACATTCCCAAGTAACCACATTATATCTAAACAAAATGTGACATTACAAAATCCACCATACTAAAAGAATGCACAGAGTCCACGGTCATGCACAGACTTAAAGATAGCAACAATACAAAAGCAATACAAATTCTGAAACGGCCTAACCTTTGGGATGTTTAAAATTAGCTTTTCAAAGCTGCAATTTCTGTCAAAGTTCAACTCCAGCAACAGAACTACTCAAATTAGATGGTTCATTAAGCTATCAACACACTTCACAAAACTATCCAAACCATAGATATGTATATGTAGATACCTCAATTGCTCACCGCTCGAATCTCGAGTCTCAAATCTCATTGGTCTAAAATCTTCTGATTAGCTGTGATTGTGTCACATTGCACAGCGGTTTTTGCATTCAGCTTGTTGAGACTTGTCACATCAGACACAGTTAGTCATAACAACCATATCCTTTTAAGCCCCAGAGTTAATGAGCTCAGACGAGGCTCCACATTTTGATGTTCTGACTTAGGTACATGTATTTATTAATTTATAAACGCTTTGAGTACCCACCCAGAAAAGCGCTATATAAATGTAACAAATTATTTATTATTATATGGCATCATACAGGTCATGGGATCATTAGGGGACAGGAAAGATAGTATTCTGGGAGTGATTGACAGAGATAGATTATTCTGCCTGCTGGGTGAGTTAATTAGTCATGCTGAGGTGGAGACATCTGGCCCCAAGGGCTTTCAGAAAAGGCCCCAACCAACTGTCCGTCAATACCCACTCTCCATAAAGGCCTGGACAAACTCTGTTTTTGACCCCAAAGTCCTTATCCACTGTCAGATGAGGAGAGGTCACAAAGAGGTCACTGGAGCTGTTTGTCAGTGCTTTTTTCACAGTCTCTCTCTCTCTCCACAGTGTTTCCGTGTATACCTGAGAAGCCTGGCATGCCCTGTCCTGGAGAAGACAGTATGTGTATTTTGTGATATATTTATAATAGGGTTATTTAGGTCATAATGTTTGTTTTGTTTTTTGCACTTTATAGTACTGGAAAACATGCATTTTGGGTTATAATGATTGAGTATAATCTGGTTAATAGCCGATTTATTAATGACTCAAATGTTGCACTCAGAATCCATTTACCGTCGTGGAGCTCGACGCTGGAGGAAACTTTACTATGCCAGTGGACATGCGTTTCAGGCCAAGCGCTTTAATAGGGTACAAAAATGCTCTTTTTGTTATTTCTGGCACCCATTTCGTTACACAGTTTGTCTCAATATTATGCACGTGACTTTTTGTGTTCAGTATGGTTTAATGTTCCTGTTCCTTCTGTTCTGTACAGCGTGCTCATTGTGCCATCTGCACAGATCGTATCTGGGGCCTGGGCAGGCAGGGATACAAGTGCATAAACTGTAAACTGCTGGTTCATAAGAAATGCCATAAATTGGTGACAGTGGAGTGTGGTAGACAGGTAATACAGGTGAGTCATTAGTAATCTGCATCCTTTCATATTTTCTGTGGAATAGATTTAAATTTAAAATGCATTTAATATAAAATAGAGCTGAGAGTACTACGTTCTTATTGGTAGATAAAATAAGCTAAAATATTAGCCAAAAAAAGCTAAAATATTTATTAAATGGACATGCTTTGTGAATGAAGGTCATTCACATCAGATTGTGTGTAGACTTATATATTAGACATGTTATTACTGCCAATAACACTATGAATCTCAATCTATCTCTAGCTTTAATCTTCTTACCATTTTTCTAGGACCCAATGATTGGAAGAATCGATCCTGGGTCCAGTCCATCAGAGCACGCTGATCAAGGTAACAGTAGGCTCTCATCTCTATTTGTCATGCACAGCATTTTCCTTACCTCTTTGTACTTGAATAGCAGAGGATAAAATACATTTTCAGGAAAGAATGCACTTTTGAGACTCAACTCACAATCAGTTTTCTAAAAATAATTGTCTTTTGAAGCTTTCCCTCTGAGTTTAAATTGATCTGCTTAAGGTCACAAAATAATCAACCTCTTGTGCCTTGCCAAGACTTTTCAAATATATAATTTTTTTCTGGTCAGAACATAAATATTCAAGGTACCTGGAACAAGAGGTCATGAATAACTGTATAAACATTCTGCCCACAGATACATTAACAAAAATCCAAAGTCAAGCAGATAAACTTGCCCTGTGTTTTGTTGTTGACAACATCACTAACTAAAAAGTATCTTGTAACCCAGAGGTATTAAACAATGCAACAACTCTTCTGAGTTATTGCATTCATTAAGTCATTAAATTGATTCACTAAGATCTATAATGGCTCATTGATGCCACTGATTTTCATCTTGAGGGGTTTTAAATGACTGGATGGGCTAAGCTGATGTTTTCCCTTAGTAATTAGGCGTGTACTTGCACTGAAACAGACTAATGCATTGAGCAGCTTACAGGCGTGAGTCTTCTCACAAGATTAAGCTTGTTTATTGGAATTAATGACGTGAACAGGCTCTTAGTTACAGTGCTGGTCAGATAAATTTCAATCCCTCTGTTTTTCAAAGTGCTTTATTATGATTTGGTTTAGAGGCTTGTGAATCAGATTTGTATAAGTATATTAATGAATATTAATGAGTGATGACTTTCCTCGTTTCTCATTGTTGTTTTCCAGTTCTAGACAAAAAGAACTCAACGGAAAGTATCAATCACGAGGGAGAGGAGCATGAGGTAAGACAATGTTTGGCCTTGTTTACTCCTGGTCTTTTGTCTTTAGCCAATCACTTGTGTTTGTCAAATGTGTTATTAAATGTGGTTTGAACAATCAGATCACACTTTCCACTTGTTGATTAAAGTGGTTAAAATGAATGTTAGTACACGTGTACATAAGGTGTAAATGGGGCAATTATGAACTGTGTGTTTGATTAGATGAGCTTTCAGTTGTTCACTCTCAGACTGATGATCAGGCTGGAGTTGTCACTCAGAGAAGGAGATGGGGGTGTACACAACAAGGTCCATTCAGGCTCTATTGATTTCCTTTAGTGGAGCTAATAAAGTAACCTTCTATCAGGGTCATTAGCATCTGATTAAGGGCTCGCATTCCTGTAGCTCTGTCGCAGTCATGGGAAATCATACGATAAACAAAGGGAAAGGACAGAGAAGAGCATTAAGAAATGCAAACCAGAAAGAAGAGGGTGATTTTTTATATATATATATATATTATTAAGATGTATCTCATCCATCCCTCAGGCTGTGGGCAGTCGGGAGTCCGGGAAGGCTGTGTCCAGTTTGGGGCTTATAGACTTTGACCTGCTTCGAGTGATTGGCAGGGGCAGCTACGCCAAGGTGCTGCTGGTGCGTCTTAAAAAGACAGAGCGCATCTACGCCATGAAGGTGGTGAAGAAGGAGCTCGTGAACGATGATGAGGTGACATTTCACATTTCATACACCGGGAACATGCAAAGATGCCACTGATATGTCTTTATATGAATTACCGTGTTTTTCTGAATATAAGACAATTTTTTTTTTCTTGGAAATACATCTGAGACAATTGGGTCGTCTTATATTCGGGGTCTAAACATTTACATGTCAATAATACTCGCGCAACAATAGGGAGCGCCAAATACGAGTAAAACGAGTGTTCCACGGCTGCCCAGGAGTAATAAACGCAGCGGAGTCATCAAACATTAAGCAGCCAAAAATGACAGTGTGTCAGTGCAATGCTGGAAGGCGAGCCCAAAAAGACTGTCTTAAAAATGCTAACAGTCAAAGAAAAGCTTATCGCGGTAAAAGTGGCCACTTCGAAGAAACTGACAGGCAAGTGTGTCAGTACCTAGCCGAAAAAAGATATGAGGGGCTGCCCATAACCAGAGCCGTCATTCAGCTGAAGGCACTGGATATCGCCAAAAAGCTGAACTTACCCACCATCGAGGCCCATCATTTCTTATTTCGGCTACGTACTGACGCACTTTCCTGTCAATATCCTAGAAAGCGGCCACTTTGATACAGTGTAATGGATTAGTGCTTGCCCTCCAACTTCAGGGTGAAACTGCTGTCTTTTCAGTGCTATGTGATCGGACTAAGGAAAAAAAACATTCATAGCCCACCCTGGATAAGATAGGTAATGCAGATCAAACACCTGTGTTTTTTTTAAATGCCAGCATTTGTCGCAGTACATAAAAAAAGTGAGAAATCAGTCTTGGTAAAATCTATTAAATGAGATCTTCAGGTTATTTTAAGTTAAGTGTTTATTTCTGAATGTGATTGTTGTTGGTACATTTTACCAGTATTTACTGTAAATGCATTTTTTTTTTTTCATTTATATGAAATATAAAAAATATTTTCAAATAAGGTCTTTAAAAGATAAGATGTGGTCTTCAAAAAGCCTTTTTCCAAAAGATACATCTTGAAAAGGGGGGGGTCGTCTTATATCCAGGGTCATCTTATATTTGGAACAATACAGTATATCAGATTGCATTTACAACCGTTGTGAACCATACCTAATACACCACACATCCCAGACTACCCTTATGAAACTAGTGTCACCCCAACAAACAAACTCTGCTCTAGTTTGAAACCGCTCTTGACACTTCACAACTTGAAGTGTTTCTCCTGACACTAAATCGCTGAAAGATTCAAGTTATTTGAGTCTTGACTTTGCAGAATAAAACAAGCAAAGAGCTTCCTCTGGCTCTATTCTTTCCAGGACGTGTTGATGTACACGCATACAGATGACTAGATGTTGATGAAGTGGGCATTTAACGTTGATTAGATGCACTTTAGCCTTGTGTGATGAATTGAAAGCAGCAGCTAATGGTCAATAATAGCAGCTGAGCTCTACTGGCCCTGCAGTGCTTCTTTAAGCGTGTCTCACGGTCAGAGGTATTTTTACCAGGCTGTCAATGAAAGGTCCTAGCTTTTCACTCTGTATCTGTCCATTGTGAGTCTCCTCACATCCAGGAGCAGGTCCTTGGGAAGACCTGGTGCCCCCGTCTTTTAAATCTTTATCAGTTTTTAGCCTTGTGGGGAGCCTTTACTCAATACAGTCCTGAATGTCCTTCCAAATGTTTCCCCAACTGACAGAAAGAATCCTCTGCTTTTCAATGGGAGATTGATTTTGTGTGTGTGTGTTTTGTTTGTTTTTCAGGATATTGACTGGGTTCAAACAGAAAAGCATGTATTTGAGCAGGCTTCCAACCATCCCTTCTTAGTGGGACTTCACTCCTGCTTCCAGACAGAGAGCAGGTCTGTCTGCACTCGCACTTTTAGATCATCAGGACTCTACAAATTATATATTATATCATATTATCCTTGATTATCTCATATATGAATTTGTATTGATTTCCTTTCTACATTTTAGGCAGTAACTTCTTTTAAGTTACTGCCTAACTTAAAAGAAGTTTAAGTCAATAAATAGATTACTAACAGTTTAGGGCGCAATAGTAAGGGATTTTTTACACCACTTGCCCGGCAATTTTTCATTGGCTCCAGCATTTTTTTTTTTTTTTTTTTTTGACAAAAAGATTGCTTTTTTAATTTATTTGACAACTTTATATAATAAACTCTGATTAGTAAACAATTAACCCTTTAGAACCTGAAGCTAAAATAGGTGTTTTTCACATATTTTGATTTTTTTTTACTGTAAAATTCTAAAACTATCTTCATGTGTAAGGTGTCTTCTTTTTCAGAAAAAGATTAGCTTTCAACAAATTACAGTTATTGACCATTATTGTGTGTGGTGTGAGTTTGTAAATAGAATTTAAATAGATAATAAAAAAAAACGAGAATAAATTTACTGATTTTTTTTATTTAGAAAAACTGAAAAATCATGAACGAAAGAAACTAACACTTTAAATTTGAAAAATGAACTATAATACATATATACAAGCCTTTTTGTGACATTGGGTTGCACAGTTTTCATTTAGGACACTTTTTTTTCATACAGGCACACATACAAATGCATGCATTCATAGGCACGCACACATACACATGCACACACACCATGCTAATATATGTGAAAGAGTAATGGCCATCCGCCTCACAAGTTTAATCAAAAATCAATGACCAATCCCCTCTTCTGCTGTCTACCACTTCATTCGCCATGTATTTGTTCGTTTCTTTTATTATTTAATGCAATCCAAAACACTCTAACCTGCCGCGCTTTGTATCTCTCTGTTCAAATCCTCCTTCCCGCTCTGCCAGAAAGCAGCTGTCATTTGCTGGCGGAAAGCATGAAATTATCGTAATAAGCCGTATATTGCCGAAAAGCGCATGTTGTCTACTGTCCAGGGCAATTTGAATGGTTTTGATAGTTCAAACCGTTAAAGAGTTACGGTAAAATGAATACAGCTTTCTGGTATGTGTCGGCGACGACACAGCTGGTTCTAAAGGGTTAATAGAAAATTAAAGGTGCTCTAAGCGATGTCACCCGTTTTTTAGGCCAAAACATTTTTTGTCACATACAGCAAACATCTCCTCACTATCCGCTTGCTGCCTGTCCCCTGAACACACTGTAAAAAAAAGCGGTCTCTGTAGAAACCCCAGGCTCCACAAACGGCAACAAAAACAAACTGGGCCAACCCGCACCCCGAAACATAACAAACAGTGTTCCAGCCAATAACCGGCAAGAAGGATTTTGGGGTGGGGTTAGTGCGCGGATGAGGTCAGGAGGGTCTAGCTAGCCTCCGTTTTGTTTGACAATACTTCGAACGTCAACAAGAAGTGACGTCACCCAACATCACTTATAGCACCTTTAATTATAGACATTATATTTATATAATTAAATGTATAATAATAAAAACAAGACCTCATATACACTTTTTTTTTTAAGGTTTGGGGTCAGTAGGATATATGTTTTGAGAGGTTAATTTTAAATTAAATTTCATAATATAAGTTTTTGCTGTATTTTTGATCAAATAAATCCAGCCTTGGTGAGCATAAGAGAATAATTTCACGACCCCAAACCTGGCATCTTACTGACTCATTTGGCAGTGGCTTTTATCTAAAGGGACTTATTTTGAATAATGAAAAAGGAAAGAAATAAAGTCCTGAAAACAATATGTAAAAGTTCAATCAACTTTCGCCCCAAACCGGTCTTATATTGGTCCTCCTGGCCATTCTTATTGTTTAGCCCTTCAGTTTAGTGTGAACCATTTTGTTTGTCTGGTGAAGGCTAATGATTATTGAATCCTTTCCTTTCACAGGCTATTCTTTGTAATTGAGTATGTGAATGGTGGGGATCTCATGTTCCACATGCAGCGACAGAGAAAACTTCCGGAAGAGCATGCCAGGTATGAGGATGTGAGCTGACATAACTGACATTAGTCTGAAAGACACACCACGGGAACAGAAACTCAAATTTGGTCACTAACTGTTTCTTTTGTTCTTTCCACTGGCAGGTTTTACTCAGCAGAGATCAGTCTTGCCTTGAACTACCTCCATGAGCGTGGCATTATTTACAGGGACCTGAAACTGGACAATGTTCTGCTGGAGTCAGAGGGACACATCAAACTCACTGATTACGGCATGTGTAAGGTAAGTGTGAAAGAGAACATTGTCACCATGAAAATCACACCATGATGTAAGAACAGGAGGGATTTTATAGTCCAAAAAGGTGTTTATTAAAGCGGATGTGCAAATAAATATGGTTAAGAGAAATAAAAACAGGATCTGAGGGCTGAGTTTCGGTGCGCTCAGACAGTGCCTCCATATCCAAGTCGCACTATGACGTAAATGTGACAAAATCTGAAACGAGACATTTTGGCAGCTTGGTTTCATTAAAATTGTTTTTGGACTAACAAGGAAGTTTTGAGTTCTGAAACTTGCATGATATTTTTTATTGTACAATGACCACGTATATGTCAAAAGATCAAGGAAAATTAGATTTCTCTATTCATGATCCTTTTAATGGCAAACCACTTGCGTTTCTATGGTAACCTAAAGCTCCTGCACTCTGATTCAAACTGGTGCACTGCTATGGCAAGAGACGCTTTTGCCACAGAGACCTTTTATGTCCTATAAATGTGTCGTATTCATGTCCGTATGAAAATCTGTGCAGCTTTCAGTGGGCGGGACTGTTTGAAGTTATTAATTAAGAAACATGGATGCACACATACAGAACTCTGAAGAGGATTTATGCTCCTCCGGTGGTAACTCTATGGAAGTAAAATAATGACAAATGTTTTTGAAACAAAAAAGCTTGTTGAATTGCACTACTTGAAAAAAATATGCATTGCATTAACCGTGCTTGCATTTTAAAGCATTGTATTTTTAGGGCTTGCATTTTTATGGGCTGAAAAATTCAACATTGTTGTATATTTAAAGGGACACTCCACCCAAAAATGAAACTTCTGTCATCATTTACTCACCCTCAAGTTGTTGCAAACCTGTATGAGTTTCTTTCTTCTGCTGAATACAAAGGAAGATATTTTAAAGAACGATTGGAACTTTGGCACCATTGACTTCCATAGTATTCTACTATGGAAGTCAATGGTGCCAAACAACCATTTGGTTCCAATCGTTCTTCAAAATATCGTCCTTTGTGTTCAGCAGAAGAAAGAAAGTCATACAGGTTTGCAACAACTTGAGGGTGAGTAAATGATGACAGAATTTTCAATTTTGGGTGGAGTGTCCCTTTAAGCTGTGAATATTTAAATTCAAAACATTTCACACACGTTTTCATTATTAAAAATTCAATAATCCATATTCACCTTTCAGTTTTCACTTCCAAACTGTTCATTCTGTTTAAAAATGCAACCTATCATATTCAACAGGCAATTTTCGGTTCATTTTATTTCGCTTTCTAAATTCGCTTCCACAAATTCAGTGGTTCAAATTCGACAAAATTCAACATTTCACATCCAGGAATGGCAGGAATATCAGTAGATTGCCGATTGACAATCTCCATAGCTGTTAGTCGGCCTCACCAGCAGGAGGTGCAAGTGGCTGTTGACGAAGAAAACTATAGAGCAAAGTGGTGAGAGATTAATTCATTCATAGAAACTAATTTAGAGAAATGAAACTGCTGTAGAACTGGGGACTCCCTTAATACAAAGTTTCACACTAAGCGATTCCCAGTGAAGTACTGGCATAAGTCGGCCTGACACTGGATATTCGCACATTTAGGGACCGTCTCTAAAGTTACATACGACATTGGTACACATTTTTCTAACTTCAATAGCATTTGAAGAGAATGACTTGCATTCATAAAACCAAGTGTAAATTGTTCATGTAGGTGTCAGGCATGATGCACACTTTTTAGGTAGTTGATATTAAAATAAATATGAGCTCATGCGGTACTGAAAAAAAGCAATATGTAGGCCTACACATGATTTGACAGTTTATTTTATTAAATATCAAAAATCTAAAAGGTTGTGATTTTATGGGCTTTACATCGGCCACTCTCTAAGATTTCGGCATTGGCCATCAAAAAGTCATCATTAGTCATATTGTGTGCCTGAATGTTTCATTGGCTTCAATATTCATCTTGTATGCAGGAGGGACTGAGACCAGGAGACACAACCAGCACTTTCTGTGGAACCCCCAATTACATTGCACCTGAGATTCTGAGAGGAGAAGACTACGGTAAGCACAATTCACACACAACCAAGCCTCTTCACAAAGACTTTCGGTTGGCAACTATGTGTGCTAGCACACACTGCTTAACCCATTTATTGCTATTAGTGTCTACCTCATGACTTTCTGCCATTTGAGTTTTTGTCAGTCCTAAGCTGCCCATTTCAAAGCCTCAGGATGATGTATCTGCAACTCTGTGTGTGCCTTTTCTTTTCAGGTTTTAGTGTGGACTGGTGGGCACTGGGCGTCCTGATGTTTGAGATGATGGCTGGGAGGTCACCCTTTGACATAGTTGGCAGCTCTGATAACCCTGACCAAAACACAGAAGATTATCTTTTCCAAGGTACATGACAGACGCATGAGTGTTTCAAAAAATGTTTTATATGTCTCTCAGTATATCTCATGTTTTCCTCTGCTCCTCATTCGCAGTAATTTTGGAGAAGCAGATCAGAATTCCCAGATCATTATCGGTTAAAGCCGCTAGCGTGCTAAAGGGATTCCTTAACAAGGTAAAGCAGACCAGACAGATCAATGTTAATGTCTTTATGTCACTTGGACCTGTTATAGTGCTGTCCTCATTTTTTCTCTTCTTTATTTCCTCACCTCCGTGTTACCTTTTTCTTTCACTCTACATCTCTCTACTTTCTTTATCTGTTTTTTGTCTCTCTGTTCACTGTTTTTCTCTTTGAATTTTTTTTCCCCACTCTTTTTGTAGGAGCCAAAGGAGCGTCTCGGATGTCATCCTCAGACAGGCTTTGCAGACATAATGGGCCATCCTTTTTTCCGAAATGTAGACTGGGATCTTGTGAGTCACTGCTATCTGTTTCCTTTATCTGAGTTATTGGATGTTTTGACTTGAGAGCGCAGTGGAAGCATGAGTCATTTGCTGTAGCCTGACGGTAGTGAAACTAAACAGAGGACTTACTGGAGCCTGAACAACTATTTAGTGTTGTTTATGACCTTGAGAAACTATCCATTTGATTACTCATTCATGTCATTTGACGCAATCGCTATTACCACTTCAAATAGCATTTCAGGAACGTTAGCTTTTAAAAGTACAGTTCACCTAAAAATTAGTCCAAGACGCCTGAAGAAGAAACCTGCCTGGAAAGCTATAGTACTGTGAGAAGTTTTAGGCACTAAAGTGAGGATGCTTTCAAAAATAATGTCATAAATAGACTTTATTTATCAATTAACTTCTACTAACTAAATCAAATCAATATTTGGCGTGACCACCCTGTGAGTTTAAAACTCCTTTTGTTCTAGGAACACTTGCACAGTCTTTCAGGTAGCTTTGTAGGTCGGTTTCTTCAAGCATCTTGGAGACGTTGCCACAGTTCTTCTGGATTTAGTCTGCCTCAGTATTTTCTGTTTCTTCATGTACTCCCAGATGGACTATATATTGTTATTGTAATACAACTGCACTGTAAAATAAATTAAAAATGAATATTTCATTACCTAGAAATATATATATATATATATATATATATATAAATAACCTAATGGGATATAATGATAAACTGATACAATCACATTTTTGGGTGGGTCATGTTTGTATCGTGACAAAAACCAGAACGTGTAGGGCCAGTGATATAATAGAGGTGATAAGGTGTCAAGTCATTGATTTTTCTGGTCTGAGGGTTGTGGCAGTGAACTGTATCATGTGTGAGGCAGGTTTAAATTATGTGAAACCAGCAGACGAGACTCAGACGAACACGCTGACCTCTTGTCCGTGTTTGGTCTGGGTGAAAACACACACACACACACACACACACACACACACACACACACACACACACACACACACACACACACACACACACACACACACACACACACAGGAGAGAAGTGGCGGTCAGACAGTTTAAAGGGATCAGATTACACTTTCTTCTCAGACAGGCTGCAGTGCCTGTGGCAGCCTGCAGGGGGAGCAGATCTAAAAGGAAGGAGGACAAGGATATGACATTTCACCACAGAACATGACTTTACTTGTATACCGAAATACAGTTGAATATAACAGAACAATGAATGAATAAAATAACTATTTACATACACACCAAATGTAGCCGTGGTTGACGGTTGACTTACCGAAACAAGACAATCAGGATGCTCTCTGTCTTACATGCGCTTCATGAGGCACACTAGCTCACACGCAAGGTCTCTCACTCCCTCTCTTTCGTGCGCGCGCTACACAGTTTGGAGCACAGTCTCTGTCTCGCATGCGCGCTCTTGCTCACTCGCTCTAGATTCCGGGAGATTTTAACTGATTTGCGAGCATCAGGGAGAGCATATCAATATGCGGGAGACTCCCAGAACTTCCGGGAGACTTGGGATGTCTGTATATATATATATATATATATATATATATATATATATATATATATAGTGTGAGACTGCTTTATGACACCGTCACAGTTGTTATTTGACTCATGTTAACTGTATTTCAGATGGAGCAGAAGCAAGTGGTCCCACCCTTCAAGCCCAACATCTCTGGCGAGTTTGGGCTGGACAACTTTGATGCCCAGTTCACCAATGAACCCATTCAGCTCACACCTGACGATGAGTGAGTGTCTGTTCATGTGTATCTGTCTGTGTCACGCCTCAAGCTTTCTGAATCAGACCTAAGGCGCCATTAATCTGCTTCAGATCTTTACCACAAAAATGCAGGTTTCATCAGGAAGTAATATCAAATTTACGATGCCTGATGACACATTATAGTTCTGTGAAACAGGATTCCCTCATTTGCACACACCGCTGTTTTCCAGGAAAATATTTGACAGCCTCCTCTCTATTTGAAAGCCGTAGTGAGTTAAATGTGCTCTAGCAGTTAAGACTGATTGATTATCTCTTTGTCTCCCTCCCAGTGATGCTGTAAAGAAGATCGACCAGTCTGAGTTTGAAGGCTTTGAGTACATCAACCCTCTGCTGATGTCGGCGGAGGAGTGTGTGTGAATGGCCTGTCTGTTTCTGTTACGTGCATATCATCGCTGCCTTTATTTGCATGGTCACAAACAATCGCAAGAAAGGAAACAACAACCTGACTTCATTTTGTTGGGACCAGATGGAGCATTAACTTTGCCAGACCTCTTTCACTTTCTGCCATTTATAACCACTAGTCCTTAAGTAAGAAAAAAAAATCTTGATTATTTTTGTCATGTAAATCAGCACTGATGAAATGAAACTTATCAGTGCCTTTACGTGTTGACCAACGTAGTTGGAATGTCAGTTTTAAGTTTCTGGACACTGCAAACTAAAGGAAAAGAATGACTGATGGTACGCAGGACCTCCTAATGTCTGATACACCTTTTATTTGTATATATTAAAGAGAATCCATTGAGACATATAGTAAGCCATTTTTAAACTCTATACCACATGGGATATTCTTGAAAACATTTTTTTCTGATTATCTGTTCTGCCTCTCCTCAGAAAAAAAGTTTTATTTTTATTGTTTTTTTATTATTATTTAAGAATACTGTCATCTATATAAAATGTGCACAATGTATTGAATCAGAGTTTTCCATACGTTTTAAGATGATTTGGGCATGTGGCCTCGCTTTTGATTGAAGTGGTATTAAGCTTGTTTGAACGGAGCAGGGAACACTAAAGAACACTGTTGTAAATACTCAAACTGTGAATGGAGAAGTTTTCTGTATAGAGACGGAAGGAGGGAGAAATTAGACATGAAATACAACAGCTGTCTTCAACACGGGAGCAAAATAAGACGCTAAAACGAATATGTTCCTGTCAGTGGTTTCCATACGGACGAGGTAAAAGTATGTTATTACTCTTCAACTGCTGCATGTATAAAGTACTTCTTGCCCTTTTTCTTCTTTTATATCTTGCTTTTTGTGTTAAATGTGATTGCCTTTCTGGTTAAGATATTCCGTTTATGTATCTTTTTTGTATTGAACAAATTGAGTCTCAATGGACAAGTGTTCATTGTTTCTCAGCACAGTCACTAAGAAGTTTGGGGGTTTTTTTGGTGGATTTTGTCCCTTTGGGTGATTTCTATTTAGATCAGATACATGATGTACTAAGGGGTCCTGGAACCCTTCACGGCCCCATCAATGGCGCCCAGTTTTTCGGGTGGTGTGTTTTGAAATGACCAAATGATGGCATTAAACACAGGCTACTCGTATACAGGATTGCCCTCTCATTCCTCGCCATGCATGTATCAACTTGCTTATATTTTCACAGATGTTCACACTGGTTTCGAGCTGTGACGAGCTCATTAGCAACCTGGTGTTAGAAATGATTGAATTGCTTAAAGCCCTCTATGCATTCCCAGAAAAAAGTAAACTGCTAATATGCTTTAAAGAAGCATCAGGGGGCTGAAGTGAACCTGGGTTTTTTCTTTCTTTGTATGTTTTGTGTATTATTATGCACATTAAAAAACACTATCAATTGACTGGAATGAACTGTACCACTTTTTGTTAACACATAATTAAAGTATTTAAGGAAACTCATTCTCTCTCAAGTGTGAAAGCAATTTGTTTTGTTGTGATTTGGACAAAATTCACACCTGACCTGACTCTTGTTACTTGTTATGAATTTCCTGTCCAAAAGGATTTCATAAACCGAATAATTGTTCTAGTGAAATTGACATGTGAAGGCCAAGTATGGTCACCTCTGAATTTAACCCATCCAAGTTAGTGCACAAGTAGTGAACACACACACAAACCGGGATGGCAATGCACACCCATTATGCTGTGGCGCCCGGGGAGCGGTTAGGGGTTAGGTATCTTGCTATGGGGCACTTCAGTCATTTTCTACCGGTACTGGAAGCGAACCAGTAACCTTTGGGTTACCAGTCGCTAACCATTAGGCCCACAAAACATTGTTTCAAAACACCTTTGAAACATTGTGCATATATTATTATTTGGTGAAACATCCATAAAAAATGATAATAGAAAAAAGCTCTTCTTTGCCCTTTTAACCTCAGCTTTGTGATTAGTCATCAGAATAGCTAGCAGTATAGCAAAGATTAAAGTGAAAGTTTTGTAATCTTGAGCTAGTTCATTATGTATACAGTATATTTTTTTTTCATAGCTAACGTCAGTACCAATCTCGCAAGTCACATAAAACGCATTTGTAGACTAAACGAAGCTCAAAAAATGTCTATTTCCTATATCATTCAAACAATTTCATTGATGTAATTTCCTTTGTGCGCGAACTGTCTGCATCAAATTAAATTCTTTCTATCTGATATATGTAAAGACGATATTAAAATTTCATACAGCAATGTGAACCGGTGGCCTCCATGCATACATAATAAAAATTAAATCCACTTTCTGATATTTAAATATATGTATAACATGTCTGTGTGCGGAGCTGCACCTTGTTGGCCAGATGGTTGAAGACCTCGCCTCACACGTCTGGCTTTCACAGTGCTGGTGGAACCACTCACCTTGAATGACTTTGTCCGTTACTGTAAATCCATGAGGACCAATGAATGTGAATGTTTTGCATCAGACTGTACTCTGTGACATTGTCTCAGTGTCCTCTTTCTCGGGAGAGCAGGGTACACGATTCCCTGTGGAAGAAAGCAGAGTTGCCCTCTAAAGTAGAGATGTATGACCGTGTTTGATTAGTGGTGATACACTGGAAAAAAAAGTGTAGGATTTCCTTTAAAGCTGTTTTCAGTTACACTATATTAGGTGTCTTTAACTATACTTACATCAGAAAATAGTAATTGTTAGGTTCATTGTTCTAATTGTGTTCAAAACACTTTTGCTGCTATTGAGGTGGGATATGGGAATGGTAAGGTTTGGTGGTATAGGTTTAAGGGTGGGTTAACAGTGTAATTATAGTGTAATTAAATAGTGTAAAAAATATAAATCCAATGTAAAAAAAAAAATAAGTATGCGCACACAATAAGTGCATTGTATCAAATGATTAATTTAAATGCAGGACATAGTAGTTAAAGACACATAATATAAAATGGGAACCAATTTTCATTTTGAAATTGCTAGTAAATTTCACAAATAATCACGTATAGAAACTACAAGTATTACTTTTTTTTTACTACTTTCAAAAATGATTAGTGTGATTATGAGATTTTTTGCTTTCATTGGACGCTTTGCATTGTATTGCATATTGCATGCGTGATTCCATTTTTGCTAGAAGCACCAACTCTGCTCCTTAAAATTCTTTGCATTTACACAAAATACATCTGCCGTTCTGAATCGGTTTTTAGGGAGGGAGCCAGGTGCGTTTCCTTTAGATTGTGTTTAAACAACAAGCCGAAACACCTTTTCAGAGCAGGTAGCACGAGTCTGCCGCACTTGTAACAGTACTGCTAGTGATAAGCGTTTGTTTGTCTTGCTGTCTGATGATGCATTTCTATATAGATTTTCTCTGAAGCTATACGTCCTCAGGGGGGTGCTTAGGGCTTAGTCCCATAGTCTGTAATGAAGACAGCTGTCTGACTAACTGTGTGGCCCGTCAGCGCTTAATCCATTTTCCTGGCATTCTTTATCCTTCGTTCTCCTGCATGCAAACAGCATTATGTCAAGCTTTAAATGAACTATCAGCTATTGGAGAGTAATTACCCATATTAAGTTTAAATTACTCCTCACAATACCGGGATGATGTTATTACCCTCTGGAAAAAAAAATCAATGTGCTAGTGTTTGGAGTTCAGGCACAGCACACTGTGTGTGTGGGCGCACCTGCTAGTGCTTTCATAATACATCTGCTGACCTTGCTATCTGCAGCGAATGGTGAAAACGCCACTGAAATGGGCCTTGATCACTGGCGCATCAAACCGTACGCAGGCTGGTGGTGACATTGATCTCCAAAAATGTTGATTTTATAACCAACCAGCTAATCATGTTCAAATTACAGTTGGATAAAAGTGTGTTGTTGAAAAACATTTGAAATAAGACGTTATTATTTAAACACCAATGTGACAAATGTACATATAAAAATGATAAAATAATTTGAAGGTTCTGTGGTTCTTGATGAGGTATTAATTACCCAAATTAATATAATTAAAAGAAAAGGTTACACTAAAATCTAAACTTTTGGTGTTTTGCATATTCTGGCAAATGCAAATGCAAAAAAACAAAACACTTTTTAAGATTGTTAGATTTTCTAATGCAGGTGTCAATGTAACCCTTGCTCTTTTGTGTGAGTATTCAGTCTAAACAAAAACACCTCTAAGCACATCAAAACTATTCAAATCTTCACAACCCCATCTTGCCTGAACATGACCTGGGTCAGTGTGGTGGAGAAGCCTTTAAAAGTGTAAATGCAGCTGGTGTTTGTGAATGCGCTGCTGAATTCAGGCCCTCATAGCTCTGCCTATCTCATTTAACATTTAAATGACACCTAACAAATGGCTCACACAGAGATGGATACCGAAGCAAAGGTGATCCCAGCACCCCATCATGGGTTCATTGAAAAAAAAAGAAGCCAACTGGATAGTGGAAGCCCCGTGCACCAAGCAAACTGCTGGATTGGCTCCAGGCCATTACTCAGCCACAGAGAATGTTCTACTTAATGTCCTTGGCAAAGGCCTCCACAACAATTGTACTAGCGTTACAGTTACTCAAACTAATGTCCATAAACATGTCTGGCTGGTTTATAATTAGGTCAGTTCAAACATTATATCCGATAATGATAAAGATTAAAAATCTCTTGACGTATAACTTTCCCTCCACAGTATAATTTCATTTTAAGTGCCCTAGAGGTCAGGGTTATTATCGTTAACAAAAAAAACTAAAACTAAAAACTACAGTAAAAAACTAAACTATTAAAAAGATTTGTATTAAAGCTGAAATAAAATAAAATATAGATATTAGGTGAAAAACTTGAAATGTTGCCTTGGCAACTACAACTAAAATAAGTTTACGTAAACTTACAAAATACATAAAAACTAAAACTGAACTCTGAAACTAAAATGAATAAATAAAACATAAATAGTAATATTATAAAAATGACAAAAGCACATAAAAAAAAAAAAAAAAAAACTAAAATAAAAATGAAAACTGAAAATAAAAAAACAACTAATAAACAAAACGATATTTATACATTACTAATAATTAAATAACTACAGACTAACTATTGCAGTACATGTTTTATACCTTTGCCAATTCATTTCTTAGGCGTACACAAAGAAAGTGTGATCGAAGGAATTTCATTCAGAACATTTCAGATGAGTCATTATTTGTGAAACATTTACAGACATCTGCTCATGTAACCTTTCAACATAAATCATGATCATAGCATAGGGAAGTGGCTGTGATGACATTTTAATTTCCATTTTCTTTCTGTCACCAAAGTGATTCAAATGCAGCATGCAGTTACCCCATTATATAGGCTATATAGAATGTCCCTAGATCCTGCTGACAATAAAACTCCCTTATTTCGAAACCTGGTTAAAAAAAATTCCATTAATTTGTCACATGTAACACAAATTACTGTATGCCAGACAATCTTTGAACATATAGCATTCTATATTTTTACAAATGACAAATGACCTGACAAAAATTGTAGTTAGTAATGTCATGACTAATTTTAGGTAATGTATTCTGATTACTTTTTGATTACTTTTTAGATTACATTTAACCTAACTTGTTTATCACATTGATTTGTATAGGATAATATTGTATCATATTGATATAAAAAAGAGAAAGACAATATTCCATTCTTTGGTATCAACAACATGAAGTGCATTAAATATTACTTTACATCAGGGTTTCTCAGATTGAGGTTTGTGATGGAACTGCAGAGATTTGTGAGTTTAATGAAAAGCTATAAAGTAATTAAATCATAAAAAATAAATTCAATAATTAAAAAATAAAAACAATAAAAATAATACATTTACTATAAAAGATTTAAAAAAATATATTTGTTTAACTCTATGTCATGTGACAATTAACCGACTTCAGAGAACTGTGAACTTAATTTTAGTACTATTAGCCTATTATTATTGACTTAATTTTATTATTGACCTAACTTATTAAATTAAAATCTAAGGGTTTACTTCAAAAAGCCTATAGGACAAAAAAGTTCAGCTGAAAAAAACGTTAGGGAATCTCTACATTGCATAATAGCCTACAACAATGTGAATTTGTACATTTGAATATTTGAAAGACAAAAGTCACCAGAGACATTAATACATGGATAAATGGCTCTTTGAGTAATAATTCAAATAGTAATTAATGTGTTTGTCAGGAGTTGATTAGATATGCAAGAAAAGACTTCTTAAAAGTGAAATGATTTACAAAATCCAGTAAACAAATGCTGTGTGGCTCTCAGTTTTCAGAGAGAATCTCATGATGACTACTGTAGACAGACTTGTGTGTGCAATTCCACAAACCTGGAAGAACTTCTGAACGTATAAGCAGTGTAGACCTTTATAAAAAGGATAATTTAAAATACAACAAACAAAGAATCAATGAATTATGACTAATTCACTGCTATTGTGAGAATAACATGTAGGCTAATCATCAATTGAAAAAAGTAAATGTAGTCAGTTACTACCCAGCAGCACTGTTTATTATACCTAAAAATCGTTCAAGTCTGAACTTCACAAGACATTGGGGGAGAGCGGCAGACAGACAGACACGCCCGCGCGACATCCGTTCTGCTAGTGCGCGCTCTCGCTCGCTGTGACGCTCGAGCGTCTGAAGGGTTTCAGTCTGTGCGCGTGTTGTTGACGGTCAGACAGACTAGAGGGAGGGAGAGAGATAGAGAGACAGCGGACCTGGAGCGATCATCCTGAGGCAAGTCCCTTTAAAAGACGACAACGGACTCACCTATACACTTTGTTAATGTATTAAATGGTCTAGAAGATTCTCTACATGTTTTGTATGGTTTTCAATGGTTATGTGATGTTTATTTCGGGCTCGGGACGGGATTTGTAGCGTTAGCTCTGTTAGCGCGTGCTAAAGGGTTTAAATGTTCTTGCCGCACTGGTAACGTTAACGCTGTGTGAACGAACGAGCTATTTTTTATGAGACGAGCTATGTAAAACCGGTTCAGGTGCTGTTACTGAGCGATGTTAATTTGGTTATATTTAACGTGTAAATTTGTGAGATGTGTGTTTTGATGTCCCATTTAAAAGGGACGTAGCCTATATTCAGTGCTCAACATGCTCATATTCACATTTAAGAGACGCATCGTCGTGGTGAAAATGTATTTGATTTAAATTCTCAACATGATCAACATTACTATATATAATATGTTTGTTATTTAAAAACAGAAACGCATTTGGGGTGATAGTTATTAACGTTTTCGGGGAGGTCAGGTGTCAGCCTCAATGGCTTGGATTTACTGCCGTATTAAGTCATATAATGGGTTTAAAATCCGAGCTTTGGATGTCGTTTTGACATATTTGATATGTGTGGTCAGTTTTTCTGTGGTTCATGTTGAGTGTCTCCCTGTCGCGGGGTTGGTGAATGTCACACCGCGGGCGTTCAGCGCAGTTGTGCCCGGAGAAGGAGAGGGGAGAGACGGATAGAGTCGAGGAGAGAGCCGCCTCGGTGCCCTTGCGGGAGTAAAAGAGTGACACTTTCGTTCAGGGTTAAAAATAGACAGCTTTGTATCAGTGTTTCTGAATAAATCATATTTTTCGAGGAAACGAAACAACGTCTGCGGTCAGGGTAAATCTATCCGAGGTATCACACAAATCTGGTAAAGCCAAACCAGCGAAAATTGTGTTATATTTTGAGGAACTTGTATTTTTGAGCGTTGGCGCCGTGTTAAAATTGGACGCATGTCTGCCTGCGTCGTTTTATGTTCATGAAACAGGCGCATGTTGTGAATACGGAATTGAACCCTTTTTTCGTTCTGGTTTTAGCCGAAACCTCACTGACATGCGCTGACTTTGGGTTGTGATCTCTCGTTTTGCCTTCATATTCATGCTCGGAAATTCCGTTTCCGTCCATGTAGGTCAGGCTTTTGCGTTCAAAATATTCAGTCAGTTTTTCCTGACTGAATGTGTGTGTGATTTGATCTTTTCACAGATGTGGTGGTGTGCAGTTATTACATCTAGATAAGCTTTTTTCAAGCCTGCTGTGGTTGGACAGGACTAAATGGCTGCTCGCTGGTAGTTACGGTTGCTGTTGGTTATCTCTCTGTGTTAATCTGACGTTATTAGTGCATTGACTCATTTAACGCGTTGACGTATTCGGCATGTTGTCAGTAGAGAAAAACAGCGCACTAAAACACCGAGAAACTAGCCTTAGATCGATCAGTCTCAAATTAGATTATCCTGATGAGGTGAAAATGTTTCTGTCGTCTAGTACAGCAATGTGCCGAACACTAAAACTGTTCTGGATGCTTTTTATTGCCCTGATAGCATATTCCTTTTAATGCGCATTTGTGTGGCGTCACACTCTGATTCGTAATGGTTTCGGTTTTTTAAAGCCATTTGGTACTATAATTAGATATTCACAAGTCTTTGTTCTTTTTGTTTAATTCACAGGAAGCACATCAAACCATTAATTCTGTCACAATCATGCATGTAGCTGGACGTAAAAGGATTTGCAACCTTTAACACAGCGAGAAAAAGAAGGACCAACTCAAAGGTGACGTGTTTGAAGAACAGCCGAATATTCTCACCCAAGCAAGACCAATAATCTGTGTTCGGACATGGCCAGCCCTCAGACGAGTCTGAAAACCCCATTCAAAGACCTGACGTCATTCAAAGGCAACATGAAGCGGCTGTACAGGGAGCGTCTGGAGGATGCACCCATTAAAAAGCGGGTAATGGCAGAGATGCACTTGAAACGGCGCAGCCTGGAGTGCGTCTCCAAACCCCCGAAGGTCAAGAAGGAGCGTGAGGACCATGCTAGCTCGGAAATGGACATTGAGGAAAGAGAATTCCACATCGTCGGGGCTTCCAAGGCTTTAGATCTTAGCGCTGGCCTCAAGCACACTCTGGCACAGTTCACGCTGAGCAGCCAGAGCTCCCTGGGAGGTCCTGCTGCCTTCTCAGCAAAATCGGCTCATGAGTGCGCCTCTCCTGCTGGCATGGCTCCCCTACCGTCTCCCCCAGTCCTTGGAGGCGGCCCGCTCTTGGTTCCCTGTGACAGCTCCACTGAGCTCACTCATTCTCTTCTCGAAGGAGAGTCCATCTCCTGCTTTGTTGTAGGGGGTGAAAAGCGTCTTTGTCTGCCCCAGGTACTCAATTCGGTGCTGCGAGACTTCTCTCTGCAACAGATCAACGCTGTCTGTGACGAACTTTATGTTTACTGTTCCCGATGCGATGCCGAGCAGCTCCACATCCTTAAGGTGCTGGGCATCCTGCCTTTCAACGCACCTTCCTGTGGCCTGATCACCCTAACTGATGCCCAACGGCTCTGCAACGCCCTGCTCCGCCCGGGTGCCACCCTCTCGGCTGACCCCAACAGCAAACTGCCAGGCCAAGGCCTGCTGAAGGAGAGCGGGGCCAGTTTCCAGGTGGAACACCAGTGTCTGGGCAAGTGCCAAGGCCTGTTTGTGCCCCAGTTCTACGTCCAGCCGGACGCTCCTTGTATTCAGTGCATGGAATGCCAGCTGCTGTTTTCCCCACAGAACTTTGTAATGCACTCGCACAAGTCCCCCGACAAGAGGACCTGCCACTGGGGCTTCGATTCGGCCAAGTGGCCTTGCTACCTACAGCTGGGCCGCAAGCATGAGGGCACGCCGGATGAGCCCCAACTCAAACAGCTGCTGGATGAGATGAAGGAGAAGTTTCACTACCAGCTAAAGAGGCCTCTGGACAAAGTAAGTGTCTTTTGTCTTTTCTTCCATGTTTGCTGGTTCACTAAGGTCAAGTTTTGCTTCAGGTTCACAAGTGGATTTGCACGTGTTTGACCAGATGGTAATGTGTGATAGTCTGCAGAGGAGAGACTGTTTGCTATTGTCTGGGCAAGGCTGTAGTTGTTTTGATAAACTAGTGTTGACCCAGTTTTATGGGGTGGCACGGGGCAGGTGACGCTCGGTTAGGACGTATCGCAGGAGGGAGGGAATTCCAGTTGGTCTGGCTGAACAGGAAGTACATTATCTACCTCCCAGGTCAGAAGAGGGTCATCTTTGGGGGGATTAGCACAACCTTAAATTTTGCATTCATATATATTTAAGGCATTTTTTTTTATCTTAAATGTGCATGGTTTCCTGTCTCAGGTTTTACTTTTTTTTTTTTTATTCTAAAAATAATTTTCAAAGCATTAGCAAAAAAACCTTAATACAACTAGTTCCCTCCTACATTAACATTAACCCTTTCCACAAAAATAATTAAAATATATATCAAATTAAAATATTAACAATGTAAAAATTAACATAAATATACAATTTGAAATGCAACATTAACAAATTTCATTTTAATTTCAGTTTTTTTTTTTCAATTTTAGTTTCCATTATATCATTATTAGTTTTTTCAGATGTTTCTGTTTCAAGTTAGTTTAGTTTTAGTATTTTAGTGCTGTCAAAGTAATGCTCTAACTGGTGTCATGTGAAAATCTTTAACTGTTAAATTTCTCAGCAGAGTCTAGAATGATTGCTGTCTAGTGGCATTAATAATTTTGTTATTTTAGCTTTTTCCAGTCATTTTAGCTTTAATTTTATTTCGGGCACAGGCATTTTTACCTTGAATGTGCAAGGCTTCTGTTGTGAGCTGCTTCCAGTTATTTTAGCTGTACTGTGTGAAAGTTTATTATACTGACTCTGCAAACTGGAACTTATATTATTTTAATTTATTAACCAATTGGTTTGTAGGTCAGGTAATTTTACTGTTTAATGTACTTTGTTATTCTTTTAATTATTTAGTAATTTCAGCTAATGAATCGGAAGTCTCGCACATTCACAGGAAATAGCTTACTTCCACGTCAAAAATAAGGTGGACAAAGTTGTATTTGTGACATTGTAAAAATGTACCTTTTAAATGGGGAAAATGGGAGTGATGTCGTTGCATTTGGGAAATGCCGGCATTGCATGATTGCATAATTTAAAGCCAGAACACTAGAGATTCTTCCACTTTCATGATGCAACTGTTGAAACAAAACTCAACAAAGTGTACTAGTGCACTAGAATCTATAGAAAAGTCAGCGGGGGGGAAAAAAAAAGGTCTAGATTGTTTCACTCCCATTGACCAGCCATGTCTCATGACCCCCTTGACCAAGGCCGCAAGCCAGAGCTTTTTTTGTTGTTAGTGCTCATGTTAGACAAAGTTTGACCCCCTGGTTGCTGTTAGAGATTTTTTCAAATGCAAGTAGCAGCGGTTAATGGTTTAACAGTGCGGTAATGTTCCAGTAGACACCTTTATTTTTAGTTTAGCGCTGATGTGAGCAAATGATTGTTCTGTCTAAGAGAGGAAGAACAGCCCCGGTTTCTCCTGTGTGCTTATGCAAGTGTGCCGGAAATACCGTCTGGTGTCTCGTCGTCTAGCACCCAAACCGCATTCCTCCTTCCGACCCCCTCCCCCACCACACACTTCATGTACCGAAACAGACCTTGAGTCTGTCAGTCATACAGTCACATCTGCTACACAGACTGACCTCACCCTGACACACAAACAGCCAGTTATACTGTAACACTCAACTCACTTATGCTTAATAACGCACACTAATGAAATTGATTCACTCACACACGCTAAACTCCCCCAGGGATCGTCTCTGCTCCGCTCGGCTGAGGGTGAGATATCAAACTCCCAGAAATGCGAGTGATTCGGTGACACCTTCTCTTTTCATGGCGAGCCGTTAACTGCCGAGCTCCCGACACGTCGCTGTCTGGCAGCGTCTTGCACCTGCCCTGACGCTTTGCCTGATCCTTCTGTTTCCTCTTCTGTGAATTCTTTTTTTCTTAAATTTCCTGTTTCTCGATTAGTTTTATTTTAAATCGTAAGGATCTTTCAAGGGTTATTTTTAAATGATTTTAAAAAGTATTTTAAAAAACTGTTTGATGCCATAACCTCTATAAATAGTGTTGTTGATTTATATTGTTTTAAGAAACTATTATACAAAAGTAAATAATTGGCAAAATGCTGCCCCCCAAGGGTCCCGTACCCCAGTTTGGAAACCCCTGCTCAAATCTGGTTTACACTCAGTGATCTTACCCCTACTCTCAAAGTGTTCATCTATAAGTAACAGTGTTATTTTATGATTATTTATAGTATTTATTTATAAATATTTTGAGTCTGCATTTATTTTTATATTTTCAGTTTTCATTATATTTTCAGTTTTCATTAATTTAATTTTATGAGCTTTTGTTATGTTTAAAAAAGGATTTTTAGGTTTTTCATCTAATATTTATATTTTATTTTATTTCAGCTTTATTCCCATTACTGAAAACTATTTTTAATAGTTTGTTAACATTTACAACACTGATTAGGATTAAAACCTTGTGTCAAGAAAACAGGTGCTTACAGTTTTGTGTTAAACGGCTTTTGAAGGGACTGTAAACAGACATATGTGCGTGCGTCAAAGGTCATTACTCAGATGTTGAGCTTACATGAGTAGTGCCGGTAAAGAGAAACTACACATGCGCACTCATCTGTTTGTGTCCAAATCAAGAAATTACTGTTAATTGTGTGTGTGTGTGTGTGTGTGTGTGTGTGTGTGTGTGTCTGTCTGTACGGGAAGCAGGGCAGACAGGCTCATCAGTTTACTGGGTGAAATGTTCACTCTAAACATCTGTGATGCTGGAGTGCCAGAACAAGTGACTCAGAGTTTCCACAGGTGGCTGCATGTGTAGATGTTGGTGACAATCAGACCCTCACCGCCAGACTTCTGCACACGGCACTTTAGCTAGTTCAGAACCAGCCCTCTTCCCCTTCATCGAGGACAGTGTGTCCCCGCCGTCTGTGTGGTTATGGAGACACTGGCAGTGTTTCAAACCCTTGTTTGCCTAGACAGCATACTGGGTGTCTAAAGGTAGGCAGCTCACTGGGGTTGGAAACAGTCACTGGTTTAACATGCCTGTGATTCCTTAATAGTCTAGTAAAGGTTATTATAAATTGTAATTTAATTAATTAATTTATCAAATTCTTTTCCAAAGCATAAAAAAAAAAAAAAACTTGATTTTTTCCCCTGCCAAAATAAACAATTAAATTCACATATTAATAAAATTAATCAAATAATAAATAAACATCATAAATAAAATTTAACAAACAAGTAAAATCTAACATAAATATATACATATCTACAAATGAATAGTTTAATTTATTTTATTTTCAATTTAGTTTCCACCCTATAAATTACTCTATAAATCATCTTTAGTTTTTCAAGTTGATTTAGTTTTTAGTTTGAATATTTTAGTGCAGTCAAAGTAATACACTGAGGCTTGGTTTCACAGACAGGGCTTAGATTAAGCCAGGATTTGTTTTTGTTTGTAGCTTTTATAAACGTGCTTTCGAAAATAACATTACCTGTGTTCATCTTGAGACAAAACAATGGCACTGACAAATAAGATATATCAGTGCAAAAACTGTTTACGCTAGTAGATGTTTTTACTTAATAGATGGGGGCATCTATTAAGTAAAAAGAAATCGCTAGTTTATACCACTAACAAGGCTCAAAATAGCCCCACACGAACACAGTAACATAATGAGGGTCCCTACATGCAAAACGAAGCATTGAGAACTTTGTAAGTGTACAGACCGTTTAATAAGAAGACAGTCCACTTCGTGTATACAGACAGGAGCCATCTTTGGAAAACAGTCTCGACTAATCAAACCACGAACGCCATTCATACAGTTCAGAAGTTCACTGAACTTCATACAGTTCTGCTCACTCAGCACGTCGTTCGTGGTTTGCCTAGTTGAGACTGTTTTCCAAAGATGGCTCCTGTCTGTATACACGAAGTGGACTGTCTTCATAAAATATCTTCTTATTAAACGGTCTGTACTTACAAAGTTCTCAATGCTTCGTTTTGCATGTAGGGACCCTCATTATGTTACTGTGTTCGTGTGGGGCTATTTTGAGCCTTGTTAGTGGTATAAACTAGCGATTTCTTTTTACTTAAGTTAATAGATGCCCCCATTACTAGCGTTATACGCTAAACAGTTTTTAGAGATAAAACTCTTTACATTCGATTATCATGAAAACAAATCTCAGAGAACGGTTGACTAGGTACCAATGTTTTATTAGACCAAACGGTTCATTTTGCGCCGGAGTTCTCCTTTAAGCCTTCTCTGTGAAACCGGGCATAACTGGTAGCCTATAATTTAAGATCTTTAACTGCGCTAAATTTCTCCGTTCAGGTTGTTAGCTTGCTAGATTTTGCCGCACAGCTGCTGTTCAAGGTGTTCTAGATAATTCTACAGAGGAGGGAACCTTCTTGTTTTGGATTGCTTTTGTGTTTGTGTATGTCTTGATTTATGTCTGTTACCTAGCAGTGTCTAAAGTGGTTAAAGATGGGGACCACCTGACCAAAGACTGTCAGAACTGTGTTTACGACACCATTGGGACACTTGCTGCCCCTCTCCATTGCTGTATTTTTTTTACCAAACTTTTTTTAGCCTCCACACCCCAGTTTAGATTGTAAAAGCTCTATTTCTCTCTAAAATTGAAGGAGTTCATTAGTATCCACGTTTCCATTAAAGATTTGCACAAAACTTTTGTGATATTTTCTAAATGTCGATAAAAAATATTGCAAAATGACGATGTTTCCATTAACCGATGTTATCCGACTAAAATCTTTTCTTTCTTTTTTTTGCGATAAGTCATCCAAAAATCATGGCAACAGATGTTGGTAGGTTTACGTATATCCCAGCCACCGCACTAGATGTT